AGGGTCATAGTGTCTGGGTCGAGTCTGTGGTCTTCTCGCATGACTCTAAGCTAATAGCCTCTGCTTCCGACGACAATATTATCAAGCTGTGGGACACCGGCAGCGGTACCTGCCTGCAGACGCTTGGGGGCCATGATAACATAGTCTTTTCTATGATCTTCTCCTATGACTCTAAGTTATTGGCCTCTGCTTCCGACGACAAGACTGTTAAGCTGTGGGACGCCGGCAGCGGCGTCTGCCTGCAGACGCTCAAGGGTCACGGCAACGCAGTCATAAAACTTGATATTATCAATTCGAGCCTTGAAACTAACATGGGTATTTTTAACTTGTCTTTCCTTGCCGAACCGACATTCTCTCAAGCACGTCACGAAGTACTGCACTCTCAGGGATTCGGAATAAGTCCTGATCAAACCTGGATTACATGGAACTCGGTAAATCTGTTGAAGTTGCCATCAATATTCAAGGTGTCAGCCTCTGCTGTAAGAGGATCGACTATTTGTATTGGTTGTTTATCAGGACGAGTCCTTATACTGAGCTCGGATCATCACTAGGCTGTCTTGTTAGGTATAGGACTACATGGATAAATCACCTGTCATCAAATTTGGTTTTCTACACTCTTCGATCTTCTGATTTTTTTGCAAAAGGAGGGTCTGGGATTCATCCAATATTTATCATAATAGTTCTTGCCACCAGCCTGCTGACTAGTAGATCCTATTACCTTGTACCTGATCATGGATCTTACCTCATTACGACGCATGATAAATCTCGGCATGAGATATGTGAATTCTACGGGTAATACTTTCTGGATATATTACATTGTGTAAGGCCAATATTTACAGCAGGCCTGGAGTTAGTTACAGAGTCCTGCTCGATAATTGTAAGAGATGGAGAAAGGATGAAATTCTATGCTAACAAGAATCCCGAAGATGGGAAGGAAAGAGGCAGGAAGGTCCGGAGGACCGCCCTCCCGACTATGTACATATACCCGCGGGATGCCTCGGGCATTCCGCTCCCGTCACGTGGACCTCGTCAGCCCGGAGGCCTGACACTACCCCCCCCCCCCCCCCCAACCAACGCGAGTCTACACAGCCTTCCAAGCCCGATTTGACCAGTTCGCGCGGGTTGAGGCCGCAGAGGCTGATTTGTGGGCGACTGGCCTCGCAGACGGCGGCTTCGGCGAGGGTCAACTGGCATAGATTGGCCAGTTAGCTGCGGTGCTTGACTAACTGGCGTGGGCTGGCTAGTTGTGTGCGGTTCTTGGCTAACTGGTGGGTCAAGTTGACCGGTTGCCTGCGAGGGCAGTGGTGAAATCGAGCCGGACGACTGCGGGAAGGGAATCTCGGTGCGCGGAGGCAGTCAAGGCGCCAACTGGCGGGGACGTTTGACCAGTTCGCCGGGGAGCCAGGCTAACTGGCGAAGGCTGGCCAATTAGCCGAGGAAATGGCCCAAATGGCTGCGAGGATGGCGAGAAAGGGTCGACCAGCGAGTCCGGGGGCGAGCTGAGTGGAGAACCGACCGGCGAGAGGTCTGGTAAGCTAACTGGCAAGCCAACTGGCGGGCCAACCGGCGAGGTGCCCGGGGGAAGCAACTGGCGTGGTTCCGTAGAGGTCGTCGGAGGCACTAACTGGTGTATCAGTTGGTTGAGCCCCGGGTGAACCGGCTGGTGTAGTGGCCGGCGTGGTGTGCGAGGAGGCCCAGCGGGCGAAGAACTCGGGCAGCGGGGGCTTCTCGGGGTGCCGCTCGTGGTAGGCAATGACCTTTAGCGGGGCGTTCTTAAAATCGTACCACATCTGCCACGGGGGATTCAAGTAGCTGCTCCCCTACCCCCACAGCCAGGGCTTGACGCACAAGTCCAATTACTATCTCACTAGTACGTCTACGAGGTGGTCAGCTCCTAGGGAAACGTGGACAGCCCTCTAAATAAGGTTCTGCTCATGGAAAGAGACAGGAGGATACCCAACAATTGTTGAAAGCCAACAAGCACGGCGGTTAGCCACTGCAACCAAACGGGACAATGCTACGCCAGTGCCAATAAGATGTTCGCGGCGGGAAATGTCTACCGTTCACCAATCCCGCGGTGGAAGGATTGGCCCTGGACCCGCAACTCCGGAAGACCTGGCAGTCGCTTGACAAATGTCTGAGCCACGATCCAGTGGCGGTCATGTGGGTCTATCATTCCAAAAGGCCTTGGAAACCTGGGAGGAAGACCGGGTGTAGAAAGCCCTTCTTGAGCAGATCCTATAGTAAATTCGCACACACGACACCAGCTTCTTCAAACCAGATATGTTGTTTCATACTGCTAAGGCACTATGCAAAGTTCATGGTTTGACCTGTGTAGGTGTTACCGTTGTAGATGTTTTTTCCGGCGTTGAAGTTACCTCCAAAGGTTTGGTGTATGGGCTGCGGGAGCGATGCTTGACCCTGGTGGTGACCTTGACTTGGTTTTTCTGCCGGCCTCCATATCTGCAACACAGATTTCGCACAAGCTGCTGCTGTGGCTGCTGCATATAACTGCCAACCTTTGTTCTTATGACTATCCGCATAGTCACATACCCCTTTGACCACAATAGTCGGGATTGATTCCCACAACATGGCTCCTTCCATCTCAAAAGCAATTACATTTTCCTGCCGAGCAATGCGGTCTCGGTGCTGCGCAGACTTTAGTACCTGGTCTCCTGATGCAATCGCGCCAAAGTGGACCATCGGACTGTGCGGATCACTGCCTTTGTTGATTTTGTCTTCAATCCGGCAGCGGGGAATCAATCGACTTGCGTCACACCCGAGCTCAGCACACGGTAAGCTCAAGGCAGATCTGCAAATGCTATCCTCAGGGTACATTGACTTGGCACAGATTGCGCAAGCCTGTGTATCTTGATGCTTATGACGGTAGATACTCTCATAAAGGTTATCATCATGGACTCCAGGATATGCCGACTGAAAGTCTTCCGTCGCCAACACCGTCATAAGATGCGTCCGGGTGTGCGCTTCAAGCTTTGTCTGCACAGATCTGACCTGCAAGTTGGACAGAAAGGCATTGATTTCCGGACTGGGTCTGCCGAGATTGTCTAGTGGGGTGTTCTTGCGGATAAGGGAATCCGAGTATTGCCGCCCAAAGTCTGTTTGGACAATGTATGTGCTGATAACGACGTCTCCCAGGATAATTTCGTGCCTGCCATCATTTGTGTCATTCGTGAAGGGAACACCCCCGCAGATCCCGACCAGTAGATTCAGTCGAATCTGGGGGAAACTTGATCGTAGATTTGCTGCGACGTTGGCCGCTGATCCCTTTCCCATGTGAGACAAATGGACCAATACCACGTGATGTGAGCCGATCCGACCGATGGTATAGCTGTTGGTATCTCCATGAGCTTTTGTGTACTGCGCGTCATGCTCCCAAAACTCATCAAATAACGCGATCATGGCACCAGCTTCAAGGCTCAAGGCACAGATGATCGCAACTTCGAACGCATTGCGGTCTTGAGGTCGACTTGAGGGGTAAGAAGACATGGTCAACCAGATAGGGATCAGTGACTAGATCATTTGAGGACGAGATTTAGCTTGATCAGGCAAAGACGAAGAAACAGTCACCCGACATAATCCTGTCTATGTTTACTTTTCATCCATTCTGAGTCATATTTATGCTGGCGTGCATCAAATCAATCGATTGTTGAGGCAAGGCTGAAGGGAAATGAAAAGAGCGGGGTAAAGTGGCACCGGAGCACCGGAGCACCATCTCGGACAGCACGGACAGCACACGTGGAACCAGTAAAGAGTGGGGTTTTATGCTTCATGTCAGTCGGTACACGTATACTGTAGCTGATCTCCTCTTTAATCTCGTCTGCCTAGCAATAAGATGAACCCCATAAGTTATATTCGTACATAGCCGCAAAGCCGAAGTAGCATCACACTCATGATGTCACAATATTCTAGATCCATGTGGATCGAATTACTTGATTTAGCCAAGTGACTGTGGGGAGAAACAAGGACGAAACGGGTCGAAGCTTCTCATGAGAAGTGCCGAGCTTACTGTCAGCGTTCTAGTGTGTTGAATCAGTTGATCAATTGATCCTATGATATTTGGCGGTGAGTGGGCCAACCAATCTTCATGGGATCCTCGATGATTTCTAATGATTTCTACTTCTTACCCCGCGTGCGGCTGAACAGAGCAGTCTTCGGTTCTTCCACATGTCCCCCCTACTGGAGGTTCTCAATCACCATCGACGGATGACTCAACTCGATCGCCATCAATCTGTTGAATACACTCATTGTGGCAACATGGCAGGCATGCAGCACTTCGCTGGTGATTTCAGCAGTCAGCATCACCAAATGATTGGAAACAACTTCTATGGCGCTGTCACTATCAATCCCTCCGATCCCGGACGTCGAATACCCCCAACAGGCGAGTCAAGAGAGTGCACGAAGCTTAGCAGCGATGGGGCCGGTGGATTACTTGAATCGAGTCCGGATCAGGATTTGAGTTGGGATGGTTAGTCGCCTTTTCTTCAGTTCTGTTATTTCTACTCTGACAATAAAGACTGTGTCCAATCTCTTGCATTCGAAGGCTCTAGGCTTCGAGAGGGTGTCATAGACAGACATATAGATGGGACCTGCGAATGGTTGTTTTAATCGCCCGCGTACTCGCGCTGGATTGACGAGCACGGTCTGCTCCTTATTCGAGGCAATCCCGGAAGTGGAAAATCCACACTGTTGAAGTTCGCTTTGGACAACCAACTGAAAGCGGCTGCATCCACAGGATGTCTTGTGATGTCCTTTTTCTTCTATGCCAGTGGCACAGAGCTTCAAAAAAGCCTTGTGGGTCTCACCCGTCTTCTTCTTCTTCAACTGTGCGAACAAGATGCGAACTCGAAATATTCATTTCATGAAATTTGCCGCAAGCGATGGATCGCCGAAGGAAAAAAGAAATCGCAGGATCTGGAATGGCATCAAAACGAGTTGCAGGGCATCTTTGAAAGCCTTGTACTTGATTGTTCCGCCCGACGCAGAACCACAATCTTCATCGACGCTGTTGATGAGTGTAGAGATCAAGACCAAGATCTTCTCATTCGCCTGTTCCACAGACTTAAGGGGAAAGCACAGGTGAAGCAGAATAAGCCAAAAGTCTGTTTTACTTGCCGTCTGTATCCAGATGGTCAAATACAGGAGGACTTTATGATCCGACTTGAAGAGAAAACCCAACATGATATACAAGCTTTCATTGATCAGGAATTGCGTCTTCCTGATGAAAAAGAGTCCGCCGTGAACGATCTGAAGCGAACCCTTCATATCAAGGCCGACGGGATTTTTCTTTGGCTCCTTTTGGTTATTCGGCAAGTTCATGAAATGAGTGCCAAAGGATTAAGCTTCAGATTTATCAAAGCAGAAATCTTGAAGTGCCCCCAAGAGCTTGATGGGTTGTACCTAGATCTTGTCAATAAGATCGAAAACACAGAACTACTCGAAGCAGGCATATTGTTTCAGTGGGTCTGTTTCGGACGTCGGCCATTGTCTCTCGATGAACTGAGAACTGCAATGACGGTCCACCTTAGTGGGGGGAAAAAGTCATTAGCGGAGTACGAAGACGAAAGCAATCCTAATTCCATCATGAGTAGTCGCAAGATGACGAAGAAAATGATCCATCTGAGCAGAGGGCTGGTGGTCATCGCAGATGTCAAGCCAGCAGAGGGAAGCTCGCTTGTGGGCTTCTACCATGAAACAATCAAAAACTTCATGCTCGAAAAGGGCTTACAGTATCTTAACAGCAGACTACTGGAATGTCAAAGGCTTGTCGAAACGGCCGAACTCCAACTTGCCAACACATGTATCAATTACATATCGACAGACGAGATCTGCACTGCCTTTTACGGTGAAGGAATTCAGCTACCAACTGAATTCTTTCTGTTGGAATATGCGGCCACAAATTGGCTAAGTCATGCTGTTGAAGCTGAACGAGCTAGTCATGGAAAGCGAGTCTCATGGCCATCTCAAAGTATTGTCGACACCTGGGTGTCTATAAGTAGATGTTCCGGGACCAATCCAATAAAGCGTCCGGAAGAAGGTACAAGCTTGATGCATATTGCTGCAGAGCATGGCCTAGAAAGGCTGGCAGAGAGCATTTACAGTCTGACCAACCGGGATTTCTGCATCAAAGTACCCACTATGAAGGTTGGTGAAGATGCTCGAGAAAAGCGCAAATCTATAAGTAATACAACGAACAGAGCCGGAGAATCTCCTTTGCATCTAGCTGCACGTCATGCCCGCCTTGGAATGATCGGACTTCTTCGTCAATATGAGAGTGAACTTGCTATGACGAATGGAAAGGGCTGCACCGCCTTGTATATCGCCGTAGAGGCCGGCCATGTTGAGGTGGTGCAGTTTCTCTTTAATCATGGGGCGGATGCAGACATCCACAAAACAGCAAATGATGGTCGTACACCTTTGTACGCAGCATCTTTAAACGGCCATCTGGAAGTAGTCAAGTTCCTGTTTGAGCACGGGGCTGATGCAGACATCCACACATCATCAAATAGTGGACTCACCCCTTTATACACTGCATCTTTGAACGGCCATCTGGATGTAGTCAAGTTCCTAGTTGAGCATGGGGCTGATGCAGACATCCACAAGCCTGAGAATAATGGCTGGACTCCAATCAATGCGGCATCTTCAAACGGCCATCTGGAAGTGGTCAAGTTCCTGTTTGAGCACGGGGCTGATGTGGATATCCACACAGCTGAAAATAGTGGTCTCACCCCTTTATACGCCGCATGTGAAGAGGGCCATCTGAAAGTGGTCAAGTTCCTGTTTGAGCATGGGGCTGATGCAGACATCCATAAGCCTATGAAGGATGGCTGAACACCAATCAATGCGGCATCTTCAAACGGCCATCTGGAAGTGGTCAAGTTCCTGTTTGAGCACGGGGCTGATGTGGACATCTTCAAATCAACAAAGGATGGTTTGACACCGCTCTCTTCCGCGGCAAAGAATGGTCATCTGGAAGTGGTCAAGTTCCTGAGCAATCATGGAGCCGATGCTATCACTCGCACTCCGATGAACAATGGATTGACAGCAATCGATGTAGCTTCCAATGAAGGTCATTTCAACGTGGTCACATTCCTGCATAAGCATGGGAGTGCTGCAGACATCCATACAATAGAAGATGATGAATTGGCCTCTCTGCCCTCAAATATCAAGAATAACTACCATGCACCCAATGAATGGCAAGAAGAGCATCATTCATTGCAAAATGCAAAAAAGGCACCTACATCAAGTCAAACCAAATCATTGCAGTGCCTGCAGGATCTTTTTGTGCGGGCCATTACAACCATAACAATGGATCACCCACACGGCACAGAGCATATTAGTGTGTCATATACCAGGAGGCACTGGAGAACAAGGCTTTTGCTCGAAGACCAAACACATATTCTAGCTTACAAGGCATCTACACCCGCTCCCAGAGGCCAAAGCTTGGATGAGGTTGATTAATCTGGCGGTGACATGGATTTCGTTGCACAGGACCACAGTTGAGAATTTGCCCTCCAAAATCCAATCGAGCTGCATCAACAAATTCCGCCGGCGACGATAGTTCCTGAATTGGATATAGCTCTTCCACCCGATGATCCAGGTTGTGTGTGTGTGTGTCTGTGTATTCATACGCTGACACCTCGCCTTAGGCGATATGCAGGTGTCCACTATGTCTAGTCTCTATGTGCATCCATTCCCTGTTGACTATTGCATTCCTGATGAACTTACAGCCTGGTGAAAGCCCTTGTTAACCATTCCCTGGGGTTATATTCTGCAGTCCTTGTGGCGCGCGGCTCCGAAATCTCTGTGACGCCTCCGCAAAATCTAGGACTGCACCATAGGTGAAAACAGACTTAAGATTAGAACTACCACAGCCTCCGATGAAGCTAAAACTTGACATAATGACTACTAAGAGCCCAGGACTTCAGACTATATAGTAAAAACATAAGTTAAACTTTTTGATGGAACCGGCGATTTTAAATAGAGAAAGGGCCCAAAAGATAGAGGATCTAATTCTGATTGAAATGCACAGGCAGACCTGCCAAGAGCCCGGCACAGTAATTCAATGGTTTGTCTGATTTGCTCAAGTGCTACCGTTGAATAATTTCTAATGCAATGCTTATTGAAATCAGATCTTTCCAAGATGATTATCATATCTTGTATAAGACTGGTATTGCGTCTGGTAAGGGTGGTGTATTGGACTGTTAGCATCATTAACTACCCGATGACTTGATGCGGCCCGCTCAATAAAACAATTACGCTAGCATCTTGGCAGTGAGATTTGAAAAGAAATATGTTGTGTTTGTTGGTCAAGCCAACTTCGAGATTTCGGAAGAATTATTCAGGAATCGTTGGTTGAATTCGATATCAAACCATCGCGGGGAAGTGTGCTGTTGTGGCAGCTGTCACTCTGTGCCGAGCGAGAACTAATCCCGGCCCGATGGCGATCCCGCCCGCAAGGGTTACCGAACCCCATCCCACAAACTCGCAGGAAACATCCAATCTTTTTGGCCAATATGGCTTTCGCCCAAAGATCGGAGCGACAAGGAAACGCCGAGACGAGGCGCTGATACAGAGGAAAGCGAACCGATCACGAACCCCGAATTCGTAGCTTGCGGAGGAAACAATGGACGGGTGACAAACCAGGACGTCCGATAGTTTTTCATCAGCTTTAACGAGACAGTTAAACACCAGACAGAGATAATCGAGTCGGTTAGAGCCGAAGTACAGGCACTGAAGGCAGAACAGCAGCTCCTCCGCACTCAAAATGAGGAGCTGCGGGAAGAAATTCAACCCCTCCGGGCCAGACTGGAGACGCAACCGGCAAGCAGCCCCCTGAACCGGCAGTGGGCGGAAGTAGCCGCTGGCAACCCGCTGCCAGACCCTAAGAAGACAGTCCCGCGCCTTAGAAAGGAGCCCAACTGCGTCCGAATCAGCACCGCACCGACCCTAGACCAGAATATCGATAGCGACCGATTCTCGAGAGCCCTGCCAACAAAAGCAGCAAACACCCATATTCGTACTGCCCTCCTAAATACAGAAACTACTAAAGAGGTTCAAGTTGCAGGCGTCGGTACCACCAAGACTGGCTATGTTATTCGATTCCAGGATGCGCAGTCTGCAGAAGCTGCTCGGAACAACACTGGGTGGTTATACCAAAGTAGTAAAACCACGGTTTGGGATCGTGGTCCACCGGGTTCCGACCGAGGATTTTGACCTGGAGGGTGAAAAGAAACAAGGGATAAGAAAGATGGCGGCCGAGAACGAACTCTAGTTAGAAGTAAATGACTACGAAGCCGATGAACATCTGCCGCATGTCTATGTAGGTGCATCATATGTTGGAATTCTATATTGTCGCAGAAGTTGCATTTGCGCTCCTGCGATTGAGACCTCTTGAAGGGTCTTCTCAACCCGTAGTGGGCCACTTTCAGGGAACCCACAATACTGGATTGCAGCTGCAACGGCTTGACTGCGCCGATGCCCGTCAAAGCGCCACCGCCCACGGGCTATTTTGTGTTGGCTAATCATTGTCGCTCCCGGTATGGTTGATGTTCATCAAATTTATAAATTAGTGATATTTGCTCTATACACATCGATTGACATCATCGTACCTCATATTAGTGCTCGTCTGTACCTTGTTCAAATGGAGACTGTTCTTGGAGGTAATGGTGTCGTCAATCACCTATGTCAAACAGTACTTTTCACAAATATTCCAACACGAATCTCATCCCGCGGGAGGAATGTTAAGCATAAAATGACATTCATGACCCGATGTAGCTTCTAAAATCTGTGTGTTTAAGTTTGGTTTAGGATTGGAGGTGATAGGAAAAGGCCAAGGGCGACAGTATAATAGAGCTTATGGCTAGCTAACATTATTGCATATCGACTCTTTGGCCAGGGGGCCGCTACTTATTACATTGGTCAACGTGATTTCATAAGTCTTGAACTAAAATATAAGTGAAAATATACGTTTCAGTTCTTACTACCATCCCGAGTTTAGAATAACACTTAGAATAACACTCAGCTGCAATTACATCCGTCAAGACGACCCAGTCCCTTGCGCGACCTGGATAACAGTCAAAGTGCCCTGCGTTTCAGAGTCGTACTCCAGAATACTTGAATCGAGCCCTGACTTCTACCTGGATATTGGTCCGACTATAATCTTGCCACTTCTGACCAAGGTCGCTTCTCATACCTTCTCAACTTCAGCAGGAGGCTCTCCTCTTCGGAGGACCACGGCTTGCCTTTCCTGGATGCCCCACAGTGCCTATGGAAATTGGATAGATGATCCATATCACATGCTGGCATCTGATCTTGGTCCTTCAACATTTTCGGGTCCAAGTCGACAAGGCAGCGTGGTAATGCACCATCAAACAGCCAAGAGAGGAACTCCAGACGTTCATTGGTTGATACGGACAGAAAGTGAGTACGAAGCGCTGGGAACGACGTATTTATTCTTTGGACCGGACATAGGACCTCGAACCCGCTTGGTCAGCGGTCCGCCCATTCTTTGCGCTTTCGCTTGCGTGCTTCCGCCTGTTGAACACAGGTGAAAGCTTCCGGGCGGCTAATACACAAAAGGACGTCGGCCTCAGTGTTGTCAAAGAAGGTAGACTTTTGCGCAGGGCCCTGGCTGTGGGGGCTAAGCGATCGAGGTCTGCTATCTTGCCATTTGGGCTGTGCGTCGAGATCTGGTTCATGAATAGATACCTCGCACAGAACAACGGGGGTTCCAGGATACGGACAACTTGTCTCCGAAATACTGAAACTGTCGTCCGGGAGCGTTGATTGCAATTCTCTAATCATCCAGGGTCTGTCGTCGGCGAGGATCACCGGATCGATTGAGTTGTCCTTGTGTACATCAGAGAACTCTACGCTCTGCTCCGAATTGAGTGTGCTGGGAGATGAAGCGGCCACTTGAAAGGCGGGCGCGTCAGTTGGGTTATTGATGGCATCTTGACCATCCCGCAATGAGACTGGATCCGACGCGTGAACTGCGTGGTCTCCTAGAGATCGCTCGTCCTCCAGGTGTCATGCATCGGGTGGCGTGTGGGATGAAGACATAGATGACTGCAGCGTTTGAATTTGGGAGTCCGAGGATATGAACTCGGGAATTCTTGCACTTGTATTTATGCTTGGGCAATGGCAAAGTTCGTGGTCGGGGTTCATGACAAAGCTTCAGGGCATAATGTTTGACGTGTGAACGCTGTGAATGGAGGGGTCCCGATGGTGGATATGGTTGAGAAAGAGATAATGCCCATGACTTGAAGTTATTAACGTGAAATACGGACAACATACTCCGGGAAATAGGAGTTTCAGGAGATTCTGGCAGGGTTTAGAGTGCGAAGATTCGGACCTGGAAATGAAGGGTGGGAGCGGAACCGGTGAAAGAGGGATGTGCAGGCGGGGGATGGGAAACGGGATGTAGTGGGGGAAGAAGATCAAAATATAGGGTAGTTGTGCAGGTGATTGAAAAAATCGAATGGGAATATTGCGACCTTCGTGGATCCTTATATGTCTCTCAAAAAGCCAGCCCTGCACGCTGGAAAGTACGCCGAACTGAAATTCTCTCAGCCTAAGAGCTTGTCATCTGCGGCTGACATATCCATCCTCGGTCAGGCTTTTCGACTGAGTGCTGGAAATGAGAGCTCCCAGCCAATCGTGGCTAGCATGTTGTCTCTAAGACTCGCATATCAAGCCTCTCGGCTATACAAACATATTACGGATGAGGATGCGGGAATTTCGCCATTGGTGAATGTTTAAGGCTAGACTGCACGTTAGAATAGGCGTTGATTCAGGCGGGCTGAAAGCATGCGTTGATGGGATGCCATGCAACCCAGGCCAGGTGAACTAGCAGGCGTAGGCTTGACGAGAGAAAGTTATTCCGGCAGACCACAGGATGCATCCCCTGCCTGGAGAGTCGAAGCATCGTAAATGAAGAAGCCATGGGAACAAAGCTGTACTAAAAATCAACTAGAGATCGAACAAGACATGACATCACTACTTGCCAGTCGACTCACGCATGGCCGCGCCGCAAAGGGCCGCGAATTCACGAACTTAGAATGCGGCATATAGCCGCAAACAATAGTAATCCCGACCGGGCGAACGAAAATAGCTTAGAAAAGAATAAAAATGACTGCTGGCCAACCCTCGAGGATTCGTGGGCAACTCAGAGTCACCGAAGAGTAAAAGGGGGGGGGCGAGAAAAAGGGGAAACGCATGGCACCATACTGTAAAAGAAAAATGTTCGGGTAGAACAGCATCTCTAAAATATAGAGTTGCTCCGCTGAGACAGCCAGCATAGAGAAAAGGGAAGAAGAAAGTACGTCGCCTTTCGAGGGAGATGTACCGGGCTTATATAATGGCCTGGGAGGCATCAGGCAGCAGGCGAAGGATGCAAAAGCAGCGAGAAGCGGGCGCCATTCCCAAACTTGTCTGTACTAGACCGTAACTGGCAGTGGCATTCCCAACTTCAACAGACGGTGATGGAGGGCACCAGAACAGCAGTTCAATGCGAGTCGTTTCTGGCGCCCCGCTAACCGTCACAAAGAATACTACTGGTTTCTGCTTCCGGTAGCAGTATTATCAAACTATAGAATACTAGTAGTAGTGCCTGCCTGCAGACCTTTGAGGATTATAATAATTTAGTCTAGTCTATGGTTTTCTTGTATAAGTCTAAGCTGCTGGCCTCTGTTTCCGGCGACAGTATTATTAAGCTATAAGAAGCCGGCAACCACGGCTGCCCGTAGACCCTTGAGGATCACGGCAAGTCAATTATAAAACTTGATTCTATCAAATCAAGGCTTAAAACTTATATAGGTCTTCTTATCTTAACTTTTCCTGCTGACCAGACATTCTCCTAAGCAAATTCTGGAATACTGTATTCTTAGGGTCTTAGATCAAGTCCGGATCGCACCTGCATTATATAAAATTCAATAAGCCTATTTTAAGTTGCAATTAAAACTTGAGGTATCAGCCTCTACTATGACACAATTAACTATTTATATTACTTGTACATTAGAACGAGTCCTTATACTGAGCTCGGATCATCACTAGAGTGGCTTAACCTGACCTGACCTGGCCGTTAGCCACTCTAATCATCACTAGGCTGTCTTGTCAGGTATAGGACTACATGGATATATGACCTCCTATCAGATTTGGTCTGCTACTTCTCTCTTCTATTTTGTAATCTCTTTGCAAAAGGAGGGTCTGGCATTTGTCTAATATTTATTATCAAAACTTTTGCCACCAGTATGCTTACAGTGGTATTAGGTCCCATTAGCTTCTATCTAATCTGGATCTTAACTTACCTCATCTGACTCATGATGGATCTCGGCATGAAATCTGTGTCCAGGTGGTAAGTCTCGCCGCTGCCGCACAGAGGGCGAGGGCGGTTCGCAGCAGGTTCAGAATCAAGTGGGAGAAGGAGCGGGCAAGCGACCGAGTAGCTGCTCCGACAGACAGGCTGATTGCCAGGTTTCAGGAAAGCCCAAGCGGCGGTGGTGATTCATCTCCCAGTGAGAGGATTGGTTCGTGTCAAGCCTCCTAGCTGACGAGTCTTACATGTCTGAGGCACCCCGCGGGTATATGAATCAAGACGCGATGGCGGTCCTCCGGTCCTTTTCCCCTCCTTCTTTCTCAACTTCGGGATTCTTGTTAGACTAGAATTCATTTCTTTTCCATCTCTCACACTTTGGCCCACTTCCTTTGGAAATCAGGGCACACGATAGTGGAAGAGCACGTGCGAAGCCTGGGCGCACAAGCAGACGCTGAAGTATGTATCACTTCAATATCCGAGGTTTGAGAGGGAGGTGAGGCGATGCAGGCGAGGATTCTCGCAGCGAACGAGGGTAAGCTGCGCTTAATTCAGCTGAATAAGTACGACACGCTCGTCCCCCACCTGCAGGCGATCCGCTACGTTGCCCACCTCATGATTCAACCAGCCTTGCTCAGGCAATTCCATCACTTCAGTGTGGTTGGAGAGGGCCGCGATAGCGATGAATGCATCGGCCTACAGGCCATGGGTGCTGGCGTGTAATTCAGGGAATAATTCGAGCAGGCAACCCGCTCTCTACGGGGAGGATAATGTACAAGGAACTAAGCAAGAGATGTAACAGCTCCGGCTAAGGCTTTCGTGCCTAGTCGAGGGTATTTCTGTATGCGTGGTCACTAGCTACGCATCTAGATCTGTGATTCTATAAATACGCAGCTCCTTTTCTTTCTCGATTTCATTAACTTTTTCCGTCGGCTTGAGAGTTCATGGGCGTCCCGGATGATTTCTGGCTTTGATGAAGCACCTACATGACCAGCTACACCTACGCGGGCTCCATTAGGTTAAGAGGACTTGAATTGGACCGAAATGAATTGGGGTATCTGGCAAGATCACGGCAATCGGCGGGAATCATGATCAAGGATAGGCTCGCGAAGTCAGCTGATTACTCTACTTCAGTAACTATCCCATCCGCGAGCGATTGGCTACATCGCTGAATTTATGATCAAGGCCGGCTTGCTCAAGCGATTTCGCCACGTCGATGAGAATGATGCTGCAGCTGAACTAAAGCGAAAAATACACAGCCCTACGGGCTGTATAATCCAAGACCGAAGACCATATGTTAAGTAGGACCCCCGCACTGGAGGACTTACCAGGAAGACCTCACGCAACGGGGTTCACACGAGAACCAAGTCCAATGTACGCTTGCTCACTTGCCTTTTCAATGTGAGCGCTCGATTCCCTTTGCCGAACCACTTCAAACCGTGTATGCTATTCAGAACGAGCGTTGCGGGCGAGTCCCTATATGTATACGGCAAGCTACGTAGAGCAAGCGCGCTTAGGCTATTGGAACTGCGATTAAATAAGGATGAAGTAAAGGTGTAAGCTTTCACCATGCCGCATTCATTCTTTCAGTTTGTCTATTCAACTCTCTTCCAGGTCTTGCGAGGCTACATAAGCCTGTTGGAAAGTATGTAGTCTCGCTAAAAAGGTCGCGCGTGCTTCTACTAACTCACTAGTACCATGGGCAGAGCCAAGCTGCTGGAGGAAGCGTTGGCAGGCTTTTTTCTGCTTTGGATCCCGCGTCCGCTTGGAAAGATTGTTGAGAAAGACTGTCAATTCCGGTGAGACTCCTGCTGGCAGACTCTGAGCATTCCAGAGCGTCGCTTTAGATGCAACGTTTGCCCTCTGTGCCTCTGACATAAGCTCTGTAGCATGGTTGATAATCTTTGTTAGGTCAGCGTAGTCATTGAGGTTGATATCTTCATTGCTGAAGGTATCTGGGTACATCTCCTGAGACCAAAGGCTCCAAAGACTCGATCCGAAGTGTGCTGCAGTGTAAAAATTGCCCCCGACCGCTAAAGTGTCCTCTGGTGAGAAGACAGCATGCGGGCAGCCAGGAGGCATGACCCTATAAGGTCCCGGTTAGCGGGATACTAGACAAAAATGCGAGCTACTAACAATACGTCGCCCGGCTTCAGTTCTACCTTGACCCATCCCCCGGTATATCCACTGGGGCTTTGACTACCCATCAAACCGAGCAGTAGAGACTCATCCGGGGAGATACACCGAGGAAAATACCAAATCTTTCGCCCCGCGAGTATGGTAATCCATGTGAGTTGCCCAGCAGTGTCCACATGAATCGTTGATACAGCGTTCTTGCCCGATAGAAGAAAGAACTCTCGACGAGTTTCCGACCAGCTCGAGTTTGTTTTGGCTACGCCTTTGTCATTAACCTTTGTCGCCTCCATCGAAGAGATAGAAGACAACAAGTTGTGTAGAACAATCTGAGTGGGGCAATAATCACCACGCCGGTTCTCGATGTCCAGGAAATTTAAGGCTGTGCGACGATCGGACGGAGTCTGAAAGTATGCTGCTACATTGTCCATTGACATGGATCGAGTACGGTCGGATGGCTCATGTATGGTATAATCATAAACGTCCATCTCTCTTGTTCCGCTTTGCTGCAGATAGTTGATGAACTCGTGTACTGAGAGATGCTCTCGCGTGTGCAGTTTTTTCGTCGCTAAGGAGGCGCAATAGAACAAAGGTCTAGCAAATGGTTGGCTCAAGACCTCGTCAAGCTCGGCAGGATCATCAATCAGAATAATATCAGGCGGTTGAGGTAGGCTGTCGAGGGCCTGAGGAATTGCAGTGATGACCTGACTCTTGCCGGACAGCTTGCTTAATTTAGTCACGATCTCCACCAGGGCACTGCGATATGTCAATGGCCAGCTTGCATGCTGTTCAATACTGTGAAGAAAATCCAACATCTCCTTCGAGTGAGACTGGTTGTGGGTGTCGAAGTCGATCGAGTATTTTCCCCACCTGAAGTCGATTTGTAGATCATGGATCATCTGTATCCGCTTGCGATGTTGTTGGTTCCCTTCATAGCGTCGTTTTTTGGCTGCCTCGGTACTCATGGTAACAAATAAACTATCCTGGATGGGTGAAGTGATGACACAAGACACAAAGCCGGCTGAAGATGATTGTATAGAGGATTCGAGCAAAAAAGAGAGAAAGGTGGCTGAAGGCTGTGGGAGGGAAATTGTCGCAAGAGCAGAGTTACGGTCGGCGAGAGATCACAGGCGAAAAGTTCCCGTCTGACCGTCTTTGGCAAGATTGCAGCTGATGAGGTTTTGACTGACCGCCTCCGGCAAGATCTCCCCTGATGCATTTTCACCTTAGCTTGGGAAAGAACTGTTCGCACAATTGTTACATCAGGTTATGCTCCAGATTGCGCCACTGCGCTTGGAGCATCATCATCGGTGCTTGTGTATGTAATTTAGACTCGCCTGCAAGCTAAATTGGGCTACCTGGGAAAGATCCTCTCGCTGGTTATGAGTTTCACAGCCAAATCATCCAGCAACCTCCACGTCTCGGTCCTCCATACACCAAGCAAGACAACATACTGGGGAGAGGCAGAAGAAGGAAACCGCGAAAGTGAGTGCTGGGAGATGTTTCGACACTGCGGCCAAATGTAGGGAACTCAGGGAACAGACCAAGCTGTTCATCACTAGGGGTATAATGCTCTAAAAGAAGAGGAAGACGAATTTTGAGCAGCTCAGGCGGACCGAAGAGATGTAAGAGGGTTGGCGTCGAAGAAAAGGATAAGGTCTTACCCAGAGAAGAGCGAAACGCAAAAATTCAGCTTTTCAGTGCGGCTTGCTTTATAGATTGGTATGCTCCCAATGACGTCCTTTCGTCTGCCCAGTACCATTAACATGATCATAGTGGGTAGTTACTGTTGCGATACTAACGCTTCTTTGATCGATACAGACAGGCGCAATGAACTCCTTGGCTAATGTGGGGAGAGGGAAATGGTGATTCGGCGTGAATAGGTGTCGTGTAGCATGGTGTACCTGTCCATAATGGAATGTTATTGGCTCCTCGAGCGATGCGTTGATCCTTGTGATGGTGACTTGAAGCTGAGGACTAAATCAGGCTTTGTTAAGCTTCGCAGAGAGAAGAAGACCGGGATGCTATGGCGATTCGGTCGCTCTGACTGGATTTTGGCATCATTTCCCAAGGTCAAGTAAAATAATATGGTGTTCGGCAATTTATTGTACGTGGACGCAACTGATTGAGAAGTGTATGTAGAGCGTCCAAAAAGAAAAAGTGCGTTCAGACATGATTTGGTCCGATTCTTACCGGGATCAGCAAAAAGTGAGTGCATCATCCGTGAATCGAACACGGGCCTCATCGATGGCAACGATGAATTCTACCACTAGACCAATGATGCTTACTGATGTACGAGAGTTTGAAGATGTAGTATATCACAGATTCAAAACAAATTAGTCCCCACGCAGCTAAATATTCTGAACACCATAACCAGTCAATACAGTTGTTCCGAAATCCGGTGTCACCACTTATATAGTTCAATTCTTTCACAAACCGCGAGGTGAAACCACGGTAGACCTCGCTTGGAGCTAGGTAGAAAATAGCTCTTTGTAACAAAACGGTGTACGTGTATTGGCAGGTATTACACAAGCTGGCAATTAAACTATGGCCTGCCGTTCTACCCGGAAGACATCCAGTCCAGGATAGATAATTGCTGTGATTACCGAGTTCTCACATTGTATATGAAGTTTCAATACCGAGTTTGTAAATAGGAGACAGCCTTTCTTTATGATATATTAAATTTGATGATTAGAACACGCCCGTCCGCGAACCCAAGGGCAAGTGCAGTACCCTTAATAGCATAACATCTGAATGATCGATAATCATTAGGAAGCCACAGGACTCTTTTATCTCCCAGATAGACCCAAGAGTCCACGACCGATATACAAATATTGGAGCCAGGATCGTTGAAAATTGTAATTATCGTGCCGGATTTTAAGCGCGGCCGGCCTTCGTGCGCTGCTCAGCACCAGTAATCACATCCCAGATTTTGAAAGTATTATCAGAAGAGCCCGATGCCAGCGTGCGGCCGTCCGGTGAGAAGGCCACAGTTCTGACCCAGAGAGAATGGCTGTCTAGTGTATACTGCTCAAAGCCTATAGTTGTATCCCAAAGCTTAACAGTATTATCATCTGAGCCTGACGCCAGTATACAGCTGTCTGGCGAAAAGGCTATAGATTTTACTGAATTGGAATGACTGTTCAGCGTACACTGTTCGACACCTGTAGTCGCGTTCCAAAGCTTGATAGTGCTTACTTAGCCATTTCGAACCACACGACCAATTTTGATGACCCAGCTGACCTGTAACCACGTGGGGTGTTGGATGACAGGCTGGTTGATCCCGTCGAAGCTCGGAGACGGTGGTTCCAGAGTAAGCTCAGCATGATGAAAATGCCTTTCTGCACTCTGCTTTCTAGCACCGACAATGCCAATGCACCACTCCAGGTATGCATTGGAGTTTGGCTCGGGGTCCTCTCCAGATACCTTCCAGTTACGCTTAATGAAGGCCTTTGACTCTGCAAATATGTCCTCAATGGGATTGAGATCTGGTGAGTTTGGAGGCAGATACAGCAACTTCACCCCGGCATCGCTGCACATCTGTTCCACGCGCTCTGGATGATGAAATGATGCATGTTCCTTTATCAGTACAGATTCGGGCTCCGGCCACCTCCGGCAATGATGAAGCAGCAGCTCCAGACAGTCTTCGAATATAGATGCATCAGTAGATCCCTGGAACACACTGGCAAGCACAACACCACCCTAGGAATACGCAGGCTGTATTTGGTATCGCTGTCTGCGATGAAATAGAGAGATTTGTACCGGTGTTACTCCAACAGGGGACCACGCTGTTCGCCTGAAGCCAATTCGCTTGTCGCATCCCGACTCATCGACATAAACAAGGCGGTATAAGCGAAATTCAGACAGGCTGCGAGAATAGCAGTCCGCAAGTCGCAATTTACTCTCCATCGATTCGACAAGCTGTTTTCTTAAACCATCCAACTGAGTTAAGTACCCTCCTAATGCTTGCGGTTATCACTACAGTCCGAATTTATCCTATAAGAAAGTCGCCGTTTCGTCTAGATACAGATCGGGTTTCGTAAGGAAATGCTCGCAAAGGGTGTTCAGCATAGGTGGGGTTACCGTTGGTGGTCGGCCGGCCTTGTTTGGTGGTGCTTTGATACTGCGGAAAAGTCGCAGGTTCGAACGAATATATCAAATGCTGCGCTCACTGCAACCAGCCACGCCAGCCATTTGAGTAGTAGTCAATGATTTGCTTAGAATCATATTGCGAATGAGCTCATGCAGAGATGCTGCTAGATCGGGGGGCCATTTGGATCATATGAACAGCTGCTGAGGACGAAGACGAGCCACAGCTTGAGAAAGGAGCAGGATTGGTTTGGACGCGTGCAAAACTTCGATATATGACCAATGCTTTGAGCCATATGCGTTGGACCTTCAAGACCTTCGTCAAATCATGGTCGACTTCGTCTGTCCAGCTAAAGCACGCAAGATATCAGACAAGAGGAAGGTGTCAAGAACAGATTACTGAAGCGTACTTCTCCTTACCGCAAGCTCGTCTGACGCTTACCAGCAATTCTGACCCGAGAGCTCACGGACTTGGTCGGTCAGCCTCACTTCGGTCAGTTCGATGCATCGGTTACTATGGATGGTTTGAACTTCAGAGAGACGGGTCAAATCATCGAGAACAAGTCCCCTCGCGATTATCATCTCATGCTGCATGTCCTGGCAAATGAGCGAGCTAATCGTCCAAGTTATTCGGCCTCTCGCTCAGGTTATCAGGACGGAGATATGACTGCTAAGCACCAAAAGCTTCTGCTTATGATAATCTGTATCATCAGTCATTCCAAAATACCAAGGAGATCTACATTGATGGCATCCATACTCAGTGTATACTTTCATGGCTCTGGTGTCAAGCGGCAAGTCATTGAAACTTTATCTGGACTGGGTCTTTGTCACTCTTATGTCAACGGAAATCGTACCATGAATAAGACAATCAAGCAGTAAAGTGCTTTAGTACGTCTCCCAACTGTGATTTTGCTGTAGAATCATACCTCTACAGGCACGAATTGCTTCCCTCGGATTCTGGAAAACCAACCCTGTGGGTTCGATTGTTTGGCATGCTCTGATGGGTCCACATATCTTCACATGAATAAAATCACTTGACCCGTTCAGCGAAGGGCCTCGGCTCGCTGTCGGAGGCAACATCAACTACAATTCTCATGATTCTGTAGTCGAGCCAACAACTACTTCAGGTAGAATGATAGGTCAGCATCTTCTGCGCGTTCCCACTCCAGCTCGCCGTTTCCGAGGTACGCGAACGGGTTCGAGGCTCTATATTTTATGTCGAAGTCCTCGCCGCGGATGTACGAAATGGCTTCTGCGAACTGTTAGCAGGTATTTCCACTCACAGAGCAGCACCCGAGGGTCGAACTTGCCTTTGTACTGCAATACGCTGCCGGGGTACATGGCCGTAACCGTCGTACCATTATTATACCATGCCTGACAGCCCGTGGTCCAAACGGTACGTTTCAGACCCGCCTGCGCATGGCGGTTGTACTGACGAACCACATCATCCTTCACAACAATGGAACTGTGCAATGTCAGTTACTTGAATCTCCCAGCCCCCACTGCAGCTGGAAAGATGGCCACTTACTGGATGTCCTCCCGCGCGATCTTTCTAATCCATTGGAGCATATAGTCCGCCGACCACGCCAACATCTGCGGCAAGTTCCCGTGGCTGAAGGCACAATTTGGGCCCCCAAACACGAAGTAGTTCGGCATGCCCGCCGCACACACGGAGAAATATGCCTTAGGGGTGTGCTTCCACTCCTTCTGCAGCTGGCGCCCATCCCGGCCCACCAGCTCCCAGGCGGGGATGAAGCTCGTGTCGAACCCGGTGGCACAGACAATGAGGTCAAATTTCTCCTCTCCCTCGGTGGTCTGAATCCCGGTTTCGGTGACGTGTTGGATTGCGTCAAAGTTCCAGGCTGCGTTGGGCTGTTGCATGGCCTCTAGGTAGCCGTCACCGGGGCTTAAACGGCGGCATCCGATCGAGGTGTTGGGAATGAGTTTGTCGATAAGATCGGGATTCTCACCGAGCTGTTGCCGCATCATTTTCTCCACAATGCTCTTGAACTGGTCATTCATAGGACTTGAAAGCATGAGTCGGTAGACAGTGTTGACACTTAAGGAATGATTAGCGATTTCGCACCACTCAGGCGCACAAAGAGAAAGGTGACAAAACGAACGAGTTATCAACGCGCTTCCTATAAGCGAGAAACTCCTCTGGATTATTCCGGAATCTGTTCTTCTCCTCCTCGGTGTACTTGAAGTTCGTTCCCAGCCCATCCGGGGTGATATCCGGACACAGATTCATGGACACCCACGTCGGCTGCCGGATGTAATTGACAATCCGCGCAGCCTTGGGCTGCAGCGCGGGCACAACCTGCAGCCCCGACGAGCCATTCCCGATCACGGCGATTCTCTTCCCAGCCCAGTCATAGCTCGCATCCCATGCCGCCGTGTGCACCACTTTGCCCTGGAATTTATCCCTTAGCCCCTCAATCTCCGGCCACTTCCACCGGTTGAGAACCCCGCCCGCGTTCAGCAGAACATCCGCCTCGTCGTGCAGCTGCAGGCTACTCGAGTCTTCGGGGTTGCTCTGTGTCAGCTCGAGCACCCACTTACCCTTCGCCTCGTTCCAGATCGCCTTGGTCAGCCGCGTGTTGAACACAATGTGCTTCTTGAGTCCGAACTCCTCCGCCGTGTCCACAATGTACTTCTCAATCTCCGGCCCCTTCGCGTAGCACTGCGACCAGTCCGGATTGGCCTTGAAGGGAAAGACGTAGCTGTGGGCGGGCACATCGCACCCAACGCCCGGGTAGGTATTCTCGAACCAAGTGCCTCCGACCTCGGCATTCTTCTCGTAGATGGTGAAGTCGACAAAGTCGAGAGGGGATTCGTGTTGGAGTTTGTAGGCAAGGTTGAGGCCAGCATAGCCGGCGCCGATGCAGACGACGCGCACTTTACGAGGGGTGAAGGCGAATCGCTGGGGATCGATGGTGTATTCCGTTGGCTCGGGGAAGGGAGATTCTCGCGATGGCATTTTGCTGTGAGGGGATGGCGATGCTACCCAGAAAGGAGAAATGAGAGAGATCGACAGTGTGAGACTGATGGCCTAATCCTGCAGGCGAGGTAAGGGTGCTGCGGGTCGCTTAATTTATACATTGAAGTTGTAATGGAACTCGTCCTGTGTCTGGTCTGTCAGGAGATTTTCAGTATCTACACCAATGAACAATGGACTCCAGGCTGTGTTGCGGTGGAGACAATTCCGAAGGGAGGAATTGGAAGGGTGGCATGGTCTCGAAATGCCAGGGCGGCAAGACTTCGGCTGAGCGGCTGCCGGTCTGTGTGGAAAGACGGGAGGGAGGAACCTTGAAAGCGGAAGGGCGTTCCGGGAGAAAGAGTAACAAATCACAAAGAAACAAACGAGAATTGAGCCCCACCTGTCAGGTTTTAGCCACTTCAGGGGTATCCATGATCGCACAGGACTGAGACTGAGGCCAATTCAGTCAGTTCATTCGGTGATCAGCCAGTCTTGAAACCGAATTGACCAAGCGCAACGCTCGTGGCAAGTCAAAGAAACCGGCATTCGAGCCGTTCCGCCCCAATGTCGTGGCCAGCTCGTCGCTCACACATTGATTGCACTTCAGACCCGGTCGGGAGTCGGGACTGACTAGTGAGACATTTCGTGGCCTTGGATTTCCCATCGCAATCTCATCACTGCAACTAGCATGCAACGGCTCACGGCCTAACAGGGATGCACAATGGCCCCCAGTGGAGGTGTCTTGATCCTTCAATTGCGTAGGAGCGCCATGGAGAGATAAAATGGACTGACGGCTCGATCATTCTCCCTCCTGGTTGAGGCGTGGATGGCATATGAGTCCTCCCCCCCCCCCCCCCCCCCCCAAAACGTACAATGTCCACCAGTCCGTTTGGGCCAGCGCCAACAGGGATAGATCTCACAGCCAGTCACCACGCAAAGAACAATGCAGCCGTGATCGCGACATATGTCCTCGCCGCAGGGGCGATTGCCCTGCGACTCGTGGCTCGAATCCGAGTGCAGAACACTTTGATCGCCGCGGACGACTGGATGATTCTGGCATCTCTGGTATGCATCCATGCAGCCTCAAATATCCTTTCCCACGGTCGCATGATCTCATCTCATACTCTCCAGGTATCAGTAACCGCCAACTTCGTCTCTACAATTATCGGTAAGTGCTGTCCAGCTCCATGGACACCATCCAACGCCCTTCCTCGCGGACGACCAAACCTAACCACCCGCAACCATTCAGGGGGATACTACGGCCTGGGAAAGCATGTTTGGAGCGTGGAAATGCCAGACGTCATCAAAGTGATGCGCATCCTGTTCGCCTACGTGCTCATCTACGTGGTGACGGTCCCGCTGATCAAGATGTCGGTGCTGCTCTTCTACCGACGCATCTTCGGCATGAACAAGGCGATCTGGTTCTGCATGGCGTTGACCGTCGGCTACTGGCTGTCCTGCACGATTGCCTTCCTGGTCTGCTGCCGCCCGGTTTCATACTACTGGACGCAGTACCTCGACCCCAGCGGCGGCCGATGTGTCTTCGACCTCTACCCATTCTACATCGGCAATGCGGCAGCCAACGTGACCACGGATGTGATCATCCTCCTCGTCCCCGTCCCCATCGTCTGGCGGCTGCAGATGCGTACGGCACAGAAAGTGCTGGTCTGCAGTATCTTTATGCTGGGTGGATTGTAAGTATCCCTGCGGTTTTCGCTCATTTCCAGAAGCTCGTCCATTCGTCTCCGTAACAGACACCGCAGCTAATGTGGAGAGTTGACAGCGTCTGCGTCGCAAGCCTCGTTCGGATCTACTACATGACGTTCCTGAGCCGATCCGTCGACATCACCTGGGTCATCGGCGACGTCTTCATCTGGTCCAGCGTGGAGCCATGCATCGGGATCGTCTGCGCCTGTCTGCCAACCCTGCAGCCGCTGCTGCGACACCTGATCAAGCGGTTTTCCGGGACTCGCGCGGGTAGATATATTCTGGGGAGCTCGGGAAGGGAAGACTCAGCCGCGACGGAGGGCAGGGTACGGAATATGCGGGGAAGGAAGATTCTAGACTGGCATGAGGCGTTGTTGACGACGCACGCCGTTCAGATCGAGATGAACGGGTCGAGGAGGGAAGACGATGACGACGAGGGAAGGATTACCGTCGAGACGGACTTTCACATGATGGAAGAAAGTAAGCGATAGGGATATTTGAGTACGGTCTGTGCGCTCCCGTCTCAAAGGACGGTAGCGATCAAAGTATCTTGTAGTCTTTGACGCTGATTTCGTTGAGCAGTAATGTATCCAGGTGCAGTGTTAGGCCACCGGCCTGACAGGAATCAGGTGACTCCCGCCGGGTGTCTGAGGCATCAAGCGACTATAAGTACAGTACAGTACATAGTCGGGAGGGCGATCCTTCGGACCTTCCTCCTTCTTCCTTCCGAAACTTCAGGAGTCTTGCTAGAATAGACTTCATCTCTTTCTCTTGGCTCGCACGCGACCAATGCGGACTACTGAGCACTGGCCAAAATTCACCCATCTCCGGGGAGGCTACAACAAGGGCCAGGCCGGTCCTCGTTCGAGGGCAGCGAAGCTGCATCTGGACACACTCTCACATGCGCATGGGTGTCCCATGGCACTGGCTTTCTTTCCTCGCTAGAACACAAACACCCACTGTTCATTCTATAGTCACGATACATATTCAACTATCCCGTCAACAATTTCCCGCAACAGCTCGCATAAATCCGCGATAGAGCTCACGAAAAAAATAAAATGACACCATGATCGCACTGTGACTACTCGACTCCGTCCTCGCCAAGGAAGGGGAAATACATGGTTTCCGAATTCTCCGCCACAGCCTCCAAGAACGCCGGAATCAACGGCTCCATACCCAACCTTGTCGCCTTTGCCGACCACTCCGTCAACCCAAGCTCCTCAAACGATCGCCCATGCACCTTTTCCATATAATCTTTGAAGCTCTTGACTGGGATTTTAGCGTTCCCCGAATGATGCCGGAAATGGACAGACGAGGTTGACGAAGCGCGTTTTGAGCTCTCCGGGAAGAAAGACGTCGCCTCTGAAGCAATTTCCTCAGCCAAGATGTCGACTTTCTGGAAGTCAAGATACCCATCCATATTGGTTAGCCGAGGGGTAGCGCTGAGGAGGTTTGAGAAGTGAAGTAGGGAGTTGAGAGCGTCTTGGTCGGGCGCATTGTCGCCGATCGGGGTGCATGGTCGGTGGATGCAGACAGATAAGGCGGTTTGTTCGGCAAGAAGCTCGAGAAATGCCTCGCTCGCCCACTTGCTGGCTGCAAAACCTTCGGAGCCGCTGGCGAGCGGCGGATGGGAGGAGACCGAGATAGGACCCAGGGATGTCTTGCCCGACTGGAGGATGACGCGCGGGGAGGAAATGTAGTGCATGGGGATCTGGGCTCGAAGAGCCAATCCGGCGAGGAAATGAGTGGACTTCAGGTTGGGGGTCCGCAGTGAGCTGTAAGTATTCAGGCAGTGGCCATGTGCGCCCGCGTGAATGATCGCGTCGATGCACGACTGCAGGGTGTCGGATTCGGCCGTTGACAGACCGAGTGTGGGATCAAGAAGACTACCATAGTATACACCAACACTGCTACTAGACGGTAGCACGCTCTCCTGTCCTTTCTCCACAGCAATACAATGAACCTTGTTGACGATGGACTTTTGAAGCAGAGCGCGCATGATGGCCCTCCCCAGAAAGCCGGTTGCGCCCGTCAAGAGAATTTCAATGCCCGATTCTCTCGAGCGACGCGGCTCAGGGCACGGGCTTACTCCCTGGAGAAGCTCTTCAGGAACAGCCGTTTCCTCGTACCAATTGATCGTGGGCACTGGGGTTTCAGCCTTTCGGTATGCAATCTTGAGCGCCATGCTGGCTAGGGTGCTCACGGCGTACAGATCCCGGAGACTGACCGAGACGCCAATAGACGTGCGAATCGCGCCTTGTAGCTTGATCAGTAATAGAGAATTCCCACCCAGAAGAAAGAAATCGGACTCGGGCTGGATCTGAGTCATGTTGGGTAGGATCCCCCTCCATAGGAGCTTGAGCTCGCCTTCACCAAGGGTCAGACGCCTGTATTCCTGCGATGGTGCATCTGAGCCCATAGCCGGCAAAGCCTCGAGTGCTTTTCGATCGACTTTGCCATTCGCCGTTCGCGGTAAATTGTCCAGGCGCACAACCGACGCCGGGCACATGTACGGCGGCAGGGGAAGGCTGGCAGCGAGGCGTCGGAGTTCGGTTTCACTTGTAGTGCGCCCAGGTGCAACAGCAACGTAAGCCACGAGATATCGGGAGTCACCGTCACCCTTAACGCAAACAACAGCAGCCGAGACCAGGCCCAGAGAGCAGTTAACCAGGGTCGCGCCCACGTCATCCAAGTCGATTCGAAGACCGCGCAGTTTGATTTCCGTGTTTCCGTCCATGCGACCCAGAAGGATGAGTGAGCCATCTTCGAGCAGGCGGCCTTTGTCGCCAGTGCGGTACATCCGAGTCCACCCCTGCGCAACATCTTCTTCTGTCGCATAGCGGTCCTCGACAAATTTCAATCGCGTCTGTTCCTGATCCAAGTATCCGAGGGCTATGCCGGCGCCACCTATACATATCTCGCCAGCGAGTCCGATGCCCACAGGGTGGCAATTATCGTCCAATATATAGATAGAGGTGTTGGGAATGGGCTTTCCGACGCTGCGCGTGTCCTCAAGCTGAGACACGTTCATCGTCTCGAACGTTGTGCAAGCGGAGATCTCCGTCACTCCGTAAGAGTCTTGAACGATAGGACATCCCCGGCCAAGTTGCACAAACTCTCGTTTGAGTTGATCAGTGAATGGCTCACCACCGAGACAGGCGTGACGCCAGAGCGTATAACCCTCAAGATGCTTTCGCCCGTGTTGGAGGATGACCATATACTCCGAAGGCGTGGCGAGGGTGAAAGTCACGTTCTCTCGACGGATCAGCTTGGCAATCTCGATAGGGTCCCCTCGTGCGGCTTGTGGAACGATGACAAGTTTGCCCCCATTCATAATAGCGTTGAGTGTCTGAGCAAGACCCATGTCAAATCCGACGGAGCTTTGCTGCAACACGACAACGTCGTGGTTCAGATGTAATTCTTCAGCCTTGGCGGCGAGATAATTGATGAACCCGACTTGCGGTAGTAGAACGCCTTTTGGTTTGCCCGTTGAGCCGCTTGTGTAAAGCAATATCGATGGGGATGTCCCACTACATTCAATCTGTGTTGCTGCATTCGAGCTCTCGGGTGTTGTAGAAGCGTTCAGGATAAGGGCGACACCCAGATTGGAAGCCGAGTTTAGCGTCGAGGTCGAGCACAGTATGACATCTGTGTCAGAAGCCTCAATAATGGCCCTGTGCCTCGATAGTGGACTACTGAGATCAAGAGGCACATAAACGGCATCAATGCAGAGAATCGCCAGCAAGCTCGCCACTGAATCCAGCGACGGTGGGCAAAGCACCGCGACCTTAGTTCCCGGGGTGATATCCTTCTCGATGAGAGCATTGGCGATGGAGTCTATACGTGCAATCAATCGACTGTATGTGTATTTCCCTGTTTCCTCGACGATGGCAATCCTTCCAGAACATCTTTCGGCAATTGTTCGGAACCTGGCCGACAAGGTCTCAGGCCACCGATGACCGAGTCGCGCGCCACGGCGTATAGACAAATGATTCTCATCGCTATTGCTGGAGAACAAAGCGCACTGCTGCACTGAAAGAGAGGAGTTCGTAGCAAACTCGGCGATCAGGTTGATGTACATATCTAAGACCAGACCTGCGGCCTCTGGGGTGTAAAGATAATCGCGACAGGTGACATCCAAGATGCAGGTGCCGACCGCGGTAGGCGTGATATGGAAAGACATGTCATAGGGCGCGTTTCCCATCACACTACCCTGATATGTCAACTTGAAGTCATCCACAGACATCTCGGTTATCTCTCCTACTCTATAGTTGATCGCGACCTGAAATAGGGGCGTATGCGTCGATGTTCGTGGAATGTCTAAGTGATCGACGACAAGATTTGAGGGCACCGATGAATGCGACAGCGCCGAAAGAACATCCTGGGAAGCTCGCTTGAACACACTGGCAAAGTTATCGCCCTGTGCAATCCGAATTTGGAGAGGCAACAGATTGACGAAGTAGCCGACCGTGCTGAGAAACTGCTCATGTTTCCGATTTGCATCACTCATACCGATGCACATGTTTTCGATGCTCAGCAGCTTGGCAAAAAGGATCTGCAGCGTTGCCAAATAGAAGTGGAATGCTGTACCTCGAAGCTTCTGACTCATACTCCGGACACCTTCTGCGAGCTCCCGACCGACTGTGCGCGTTGTGGTATGCGCATTGTAGTTTTCGGTAGCGATTCTGTATTTCACCTTAGCAATTCCCAGTAGGGGCATCACATCTGGCAGCGGTGATAGACGATTTTTCCAGTACTCGATGTCCTTGGCAAACGCGTCGCTCTTTACCGCGTCATTCTGCATAATCGAGTAGTCAATATACTGCGAGACATTGGGAGTGGGGGGCTTGTTCTCGTAGAATCCTTTGACTTCCCGGAGGAAGGTAGACCAGCTAACTCCGTCCATGATGATGTGATGATAGCTGAATATGACAGTGTGGCGGTCAGAGCCTACTGAGACCACAGTGACTCGGAATGTCTCTCCGTGCTCTAATGACCATTTGTAGAGCGCCGCCTTTACGAATTCGTGGGAAACAATCGCTGGGTCTGAGGTCTTCACATGGTGAAAGAACGGCAGCGGCTGCTCCAGAACTGCTTGCACCAGTTCGCCACTGACACGGTCCGCGAAGAAACAGGTCCGTAAGGACTCGTGTCTCGAAACAGTGTGCTCCAATGCCTGTTCAAACCTTGCCGGTTTGAAGGAGCCCTCGACCTTGTAAGATATCACAACATTGTATTGCGTTGGGTCTTTCATATAATGTCCCGCAAACCAGATCAAGGACTGGTATGGTGACATAAGCTCAAGGCGTATGAACTCCTTAGATGTCAAAGCGGTTGAGTTTGGCTTAGATGCAAAGTGTGGTGCCGTGGAGCATTCTGAGGTCGCAGAGCTTACTGGGTCTCGACCGCCAATGCATCTGTCAGACTCTGTCGTTGGGGTTACGGTGGTTTGCGTAGAATGATCACTATCTTGATCTGCCGGTCTCTCACTCAGAGATGATGCGACAACCGCTCTGCAAATCCCATCCACAGTACCGTATAACACTTCGAGAGCCGGTATCTCGATTCCGGCTTCTTTCTCAAACCAGCTGCCGATTTCGACAGCAAGCAATGAATCGCAACCAAGATCCAGGAGCTGAACATCTGTCCGCAGTTTACCCGCTGGCAGTTGTAACATGGACTGTAGTCGTTGTGTGAAAAAGGTTAAAAGTATCTGACAAGCTTCTTCCTTGCACTTAGACTGTGCAAGTCTCGCTCTGATCGTTCTAGTTGATGCAACTGGCTCCCCCTGCCTCTCCTGCATCGTTTTGCCGGAGAAAAAATGAGAGAGAATTGGGTTCGAATGCCATGGTGAGACAATTTGGTCGTCATCTGGTCGCATGGCTGATGAAAACCCAATAATTATCTCCGAACCGTCCCCCGATTTTGCCGTCACAGCCTCAGCAAAGGCATGATGGATGTCTGTCTCAGATAGGGCAGCATAGCCCTGGTTTGTCAGCTTGGCAAGCTCGTGACTGTCTAGGCTGGATCCGAAGCCCACGTCAACAACCATCCCCATCTGGACAATTGACGCGGCTAAGCCCTTCGCCCGACGTTGTTGCACCAGCTCAGACATGTACAGGCTAGCAGTATGCTGGTAGGGTTGCTCCGGGATTCCCATTAAAGCACCTAAAGACGAGAAGAGGACAAAGAATTCCAATGTAGGCTTGGAGAAAAGTTCATCGAGATACCGGGACCCTTTCATCTTGAAGTCTAACGCAATGCCAAGGTCATCGACGGCGGTATCCTCAAATACCTGAGCTGACATGCTCATTGCCCCGTAGCAAACACCGCCAACAAGCGGCAGGGTCTCGCAAATCATCTTGTAGGCTGATGACACAGATTCTCTCTCGGACACATTCATTGCCATCGTTTTGACACGAACTCCAAACCTAGAGAGATCTTCGAGCCAGTTCTGGTCTACGCGACCGTTCATGCTCGTGAGAACAAACGTTCTGGCCCCATGCCGTGCCATCCATGATATTAGAGACATCCCAAGGGGTGTAGCCATGTCAACCATGAGATAAGTTTTGGTGGGGGAGAACGATTTATTAGAGCGGAGTCCTTCGACTGGAAGGGCATTTCGGGCCGATCTAGCCCAGTCAATGATGATCGGATGAGCGTAGATGGATGCTGGCAAATTTATGATCTCATTCACCGAGTAGGTATGCTGCGCAACTGAAGAGACCTTCAAACAATGAGCTTTCGCTTCCGAATAGGCCCGCGTAATCAGCTCCCTGGTATCGGCGGACTTGAAGCGAACGCTGTGTATTGGGTCTAGTAACACTTTCCTGTAAAGGCTCCGAAGATTCGATCTAAGCGTCCCTTCCCAGCCAGTGGCCAGGTCAATAAAGCATGACACGTCTCCCGGTAACTCATTCATGATCTCTTGGCGAGTTGCTCGAGGGTGAAATTGTATCCATTCCCCTTCTGCCCTCACTTGCTTCGTGCGCGCCACGAAGTACACCTCGCGTCGACGCCAATGCGAGCTTGTCTGGATAGCTGCGATCAGGGCTTCGTGGGGCTCGTATATAAGTACGGGACCTGAGTACTGTATTGCCAATGCGAGGATACCAGCCACTAAAAAGCTGGATATAGCTTGCAGACCAGCTGGTGTGATCTCTTCTCTCTTTTCCAGGACATGTATCTCGTCTGGAATGGCGAAAATAACTGACGAGTTATGCTCTGCAATCCCCATAGCTGTTGTCTTCTTGTCTGTATAGCCGGCCCACATGAACATTCTCCTTTGGTCATCAAAGAAGAGGGGAGTCGAAAATTGCGTCTTGATAGTTATAGATCCTGCATTTCGAGAGGAAGGATCAGGGAGGCGCTGTAGAAACAATGTTTCCGTTTCTTCAGTAACTGTGATGCCCAGCTCGACGGGAGCTTGATCAGGATAGGCATCCTCGGTGATATTAAGACCCCTCCTGCCATATCTTTCGTTCCTTCTCTGGTCCCAAACCAAACGTGGAATGAAAAATGCGTGGCCATCGAAACAAAGTTCTGGCTCGTTTGTCCAGAGCAGCCCCTTTCCGGCAACTTCCGGAAGACGAGAACACAAGAGCCGCAAGAAGGTCTCTACGACCACAGTCATGCTGAGTTGGTCACGCTCCGGGACAGCCAGAAACTGCAATCGAGCATCTGAGTGTTCAGTCATCACCACTCTTCCTATGCCAGCTGTAATACTGATAGATGACGGAGCATTAGGGCGTCCGGATGTCAGCCATAGCACAGTCCTCGATCGCTCGAATAATTGTCGTACTGACAGCAAAGTATATGTAGACACTTCGTTGTCAGCTAGATTCTTATCGAGCTCGATCGCTGATATGACGGGCGCTCCATCGCCAATGTGGGCTATATTTAGATTGTCAATGTCTTCCATGATCTTGACATCCACACCAAACTGTGCTAGCATTCTTCTGAGACCTCGAACTAGGCGTGATCCTGACCAAGTCTTGCCTCCGAAGATAAAAACTCTCTTGGGCAAGGGCAATTGATTCGTTGACATGATCGGTTCTCGAAGCATGTCCACGGTGGCATCCACTGCTTGGGAGACAACCACAGAGAGACAACGTGCTTTTCCGTCTGGCATATTGTGAGTCACACTATCAACACCTGAGAATGCTGTGGAGCGCAACAATTCATCGAGCTTCATCGGAGAGACACCCTGCCATCTGCCTTGTATCTCCTCATTTCCGTACCACCACTGCGGGAATAGGTCCAAGCAAATCAGCAGGGTTATTGCCAACGGACCCGTCATCTCCACAAGGACAAGATAGCCGCCGGGCCTCAAGAGTAATCGAATCTTTTGTAGAGCTTTTTCCGGTTCGGATGTTGCAAGGTGAAGAAAAGTCGTAATCACCAGGTCGTAGCTGTCATTTATTAAGCCTTGGTCAGTAAGACTCGCGTTGAGATCTCCAACTTTGAATAGGACCTTGTCTGTGAGATTAGTGCATGCACTTTTTGCTACATCAACTAGCTCCTGGGAATTGCACGTATAGCAGTAGGAAGCAAACGTATTGCTCACGGTTTTCAAAACCTTGCTCACACACTGCATCCCCGCGCTGAGTTCCAAGATTTTCATATGGGGATGCCTGTGCACAATGCGCTTTATGGTGTCGCATATGGTTTTGTGTGTCGAGCAAAATGTCTGCCCTTCTAAGTGAAGCTCGGCTAGTCGATCAAGTCTTACTCCTGGATCGATTTGACCTCGCAGAATTGAAGGTAGGAGTGGACCAAGATGTTGTAGCAGTTCAACTTCCACCTGCCCCGTAAACTTCTCGGCAAGACCCTTGATGGAGTCCTCGGAATCTTTAAGCCATTCCAACTTCAACAAAGTGTCTTTTGAGTTTCGTTTGACTGTCTCAACTGCACGGCAAAGTTCATTGTAGACATGGCGGTGATTAGGCTTGAATGCTTTGACTTCACGCGGATCAAGCTCAGATAATGTTCTTTGAGCGTAGAACAGAGCTATTCTCTCTGTGCATATAACCCAGCTATCTTTGTTGGCTTCGGGCTTATGCTGCTCAGCAAATGCGGAGCTTCCAAAAGGATCATTTTCCCAAGCAACTCGAGCGAAAATATGTCTAGTGCCCGAATGGCCACGCTGATCTGCAGAACTCAAGGTCATGCCCTCCGCCTGTATTATGGAGTTTCCATTACAGTCAAAGATTGAAAAGTCGCCCTCCACTTGGTCGGCATTCAACGAGATCACAGACGCGTCGATGTTCAAATTGACCTCGTCCGAGGAAAAGCTTTGAAAGCGATCCTGGTGAAAAACGATCCGATTAATTCTGGAAGGTAGATAGAATGACCACATTTTTGGGATGAGAGGCGAGCAGACTGCCGCTAGAAGAGACTGGAAAGCTGTTTCAAAAGCCGCGATGGGCAATAACAACGCCGAGGAGCTGTGTCTGGACCAACGAGCAAAGGCGCTGGCATGGTGCAGAGCCCGGCGCAGGGAATTTATCGTGCGGAATGGTCCTGTACAGACGAGACTGTGGCTCTCGAGAAGTTCATACAGAGCGTCTGGCTCTACTGGTGTCAGTTTCGGCTGCCTAAAGGGTCTTGCAGGCAGCATGGTTGGTTGAGGCTTGCCCAAATGTAGGATTACACGGGCGGTGCACACCCTTTCGAGAGCTTTTTCGCAACTGGTACAGATATCGCAAGCAAAATCAAGGTCGAGCTCGGTGCTTGGTGAGGCTTTGGCCACTCTGTTGGATACTCGTAGCATAGTTATGCACTCGATCCCTGAGCCATGTTCATCCAACGCCAAAGGTCTGCAGAACTCCAGATGTTGGATTTCGAGAAGCGACAGATTACTACTGTTGGCAAAAGACCTTGCTGCTTCCATGACCAGGGTAGTATAAACTCCAGCGGATATAATTGCCTTTCCATTGTACTTATACCCTTGCAGCCACGGGATCTCTGTAAGATGCAGGATGTTTCGCCAATGGATCTCATGATGCGGGCAGTCATAAATTCGTCGTCCAAGCAACTGCTGCGACTGGTACCCCTGAAGACGATAGGTACGCGACATGCGGGACTCTCTCCAATAGACTTTCTGGTGATCCCAGCAGTACTTTGGGACTCCCTTGGGTAGTTTTGGTGTTGGTAAAGTGAATGCACGACGGTATCCGGCAATGTCAACGCGTTGGGGTCCAAAATGTTGCCAAGCGAGGCCAATAGCCAACGATGCAGCGTTCACATCAGCGACTGCACGTTTCAAAAACGAGACATAGGGAATATCCTTGTCGGTGACTTTCTTCAGCGTCTGCAAGGTGGGGGCTTTGAGGGCTGGATGAGGTCCAACCTCGATGCACATCGTGGGTGGGTCACTTTCCTGAAGCAAGAGCTGAAGCGCCTGCGAAAAGAGCACAGGTCGCACCATGTTATCCACCCAGTACTGACCAGTCAGCGAAGGTATATCACTCAAGAGACAACCGTTATCTTCTCGCACGCTAGAAATCCACCGGCATCCTTGCCGGGGTGGTCGCACTCGGATGTTGCAGGCCTTCAGAGAGGCCAGATATGCGTCGGCGCAAACGCGCATATGATGAGAATGATACGCTACGTCCACCCTCAGAACTCTGGAGAACGTACTCTTCTTATCAAACTGCTCTTTTGCTTCGAAGATGGCGTCCTGATCGCCGGAAAGCGTCACGCTTTCAGGAGAGTTGCTGGCTGCGACGACAATTCTACCGCGGAATAATGCTTGAGAGCAGAATTGCATCGCCTCATTGTAGGACAAACTGGCTGCCATCATCGCACCTGGCTGGGATAGGTACTTAGCACTGGCCAATCTTGCGTGTAGTCCACGATAATAGGCGATCTTCATGGCGTCAGATGCCGATAGGATACCGGCGGCATAGGCAGCGGCGATCTCCCCGGAGGAGTGGCCCACGACAACGTCAAGCTGTATACCAGCAGCACTCAGAAGATCGCAGATTGCAACTTCAATTGCTGTTGTTAGGGGCTGGCTCAACTCGGCTTCCGAGACTCGGGAGGATGTTTCATTCGCGATAAGCTCATCTTTCAGCGACCACGAAGGCCCATCGGGCAGACTTTCCAGGGCTCGCTGACAGCCTTCGATGGAGTTGCGAAATGTGGGACACGAACTGATCAGGTCGCGTCCCATTGCTGCCCATTGTGCTCCTTGCCCGGTAAACAGACCAAGGATGGCACCTGCTTCCCTCAGGCTCCTTGATACAGTACACTTGAGGTCGTTTTCCGGATCCGTTTCGCCCATGGCCACGGTCCTCTCCATCATACTCAAGAGCTCATCGCTGCTGGCCGCGGAGAATGATAACTTTAAAGGAAACAACGTTTTCTTGCAGCTGAGCATCCATGCCAAATCGTTTAAACACGTTGAGGGATTCTTCCTCGCATGGCTAACCGTGAGCTGAATGTTGCGCAACAAAGAAAGTCGGGTATTGGCCGAGAACACGAATGGGCCCACAAGTTTGTGTCCATCGGTTGTAGAAATCTCATCGTTATCAAGAACGAACGGATTGCCGTGTGGAATATAATTCTCAATGATGACATGCGCGTTGGTTCCGCCAAAGCCAAAGGAGTTCACACTAGCACGCATTGGAATACCAGGGGCTCGATCCGGCCATTTGAAATTCTGAGTCGGAACATGCAAGTGGTCATAGAATGGTTGAATTCTTGGATTCAGTTTATGGAAACCAAAATTCGGCGTGATGGTACAGTTTTTGACACATTCGACTGCCTTCAGCAGTCCTGCCAGGCCGGCGCAGCCTTCCAGGTGGCCAATGAGTGATTTGATCGATCCCACATGAAGCTTGTCGGTTGTGTTAAATGTGAAGTCATTCGGGAAAAAGACTGTCTGTATGGCTTGGGCTTCCGCAGGGTCTCCTGCGGGCGTGCCTGTTCCATGACATTCGAAGAACTGGCATCGATCGCTGACAGGATCCAGGCCGCTGTTGAGGTAGGTTTGTCGAATCAGATTAGCCTGGGCCTCAACACTGGGCATGGTAATACCCGGAGAGCGACCATCCGAGTTGACCAAGGTCTCTCTAATAATGCACTCGATGTCATCGCCGTCTGCTAGCGCTTGACTCAAGGGTTTTAGGATGACGGATGCACAGCCCTCACCGCGAGCGTAACCATCCGCTGCTTCATCCCACATTCGACACCTGGATGTCGGTGACAACATATGCAGTTTGGATTCATTGACGTATGTTCCTGCATCCAATATGAGATTCACTCCAGCGACAATGGCCAGCTTCGCTTCGTGGTTTCGTAGGCTCTGGACAGCATAGTGTAAGGCGACCAAAGAACTCGAGCACGCGGTATTGATCGTCAACGATGGGCCTCTCAGGTCAAAGACGTATGAGATTCGATTCGATAAGATACTAGGGGCTGTACCGGTCGCATCCCACCTCCCAATGGAATCCAGATCTCGGGTTTGGATGTCATGATAATCTGAAGTCATTGCTCCAACAAAGACTGAGGTTGAGGACCCTTGCATCTGCTGCAGGGTGTATCCTGCATCCTCCAGAGCTTCATAAGTTGTTTCCAACAATATACGTTGCTGGGGGTCCATGCATTCGGCCTCGGCGGGCAAAATGCCAAACACGGCGGCATCGAAGAGACGGGGGTCGGTGTCTAGGAGATATGCTTTGTTGGGTACGTTGGTAGAGCCATGATGCTCAGGATTGGGATGATAAAAGCCGGACAGATTCAGTCTGTCTTGGGGGATCTTGGACAAGACATCTCGTGGATTGCGAAGCAGTTCCCACAGCTCGGCCGAGGAATTGACTTTGCCTGGGAATCGGCATGCACTGCCCACAACCGCAATCGGCTCGTTCCTCGTCGTTGGCATTGCGGTCATCTCATTCATTTCTGTCACCTCTCTGATGCAGTAGTTGAGGTAGACCAGGGTCCTCCCCGCATGGCTTGGTGTTTTATACTGCTCTGCACATAAACCCCTCTTTTGGGCCCGAGATGAGGTCCGGGCGAGAACACGAACAATTGGGTTTGGTCACGGAACGCTGACCGGAAGCATCGGTTGACATCCCAGCTCTCTCCTTCTCAATCCTGTATAGCCGTGGGTGGAAAGTCCTCTAGCTGCTCAGCAGCCGTGATGAGCTAGTGTCAATTCTCTTGCGATCAGCTCTGGATTGACTTTTCGGAATGTCAGCTGAAAGCGCCCATATAACGCTTACGTACCAAACATAGTTAGACCTGATACCTCTTCACGGGTCAGAAAAGGCCAAGGGAGGAATTACCAATCGACACGCATACTGTGGAACCCTTGGAGCTGAAGACTAACTTCTGTGCAAGGTAGTGGACGTATAGACGACAAAATGGCGGGTCATTGAGCAGGGCTTCCGAGAACTCATCACACCACTTCATGCTGCAGCCTAGGTTATCCTAGACTGTTCTCGAGTTCAGGTATCCGACGTCCTCGCGGGACTGCTGGTTTGGCTGAGTTGAAACAACGACGGCATGTGTCACCTGTAAGGCGCAGCTGGATTCATTTCATCACTTTCCGAGCTGAGGAAGAAGCCACGCCCTGGAATGAGCCTACCAGGATATACATCCAGCACTGGGTCAAAGCCATCCGACTCAGTGTGAAAATCCCATGACTTGGTTTTTCATGGAACTTGGAAACTCTCTTCCCTTTCTCTGAACATATAAACTCAATCAACCTCAAGGCCGTCGTCTGGTGGGGTCCCCTCAACGGCTCTCATTCGCGGCCATCTCTTGAGCCAGAAGCAGAGTCTAGACGAGCTGGCGCAATATAGTTCGCACCTTTATTCTCCCTTTACCAGGATGGATGTCTCAGCTCAGCTACCGTTACCTTTCCAGAATCTCAGCCGCAGCTTCGCATTTTCCAATGATGACGAAGCGAACTGGTGGCGAAGCACGGGCCCGATGTTTGCACGCATGATGGCTGCCGCCGACTATGATGTGCATGCACAATACCGGTTCTTGTGTATCCATCGTGAATTTGTCATTCCCAACCTGGGTCCTTACCCCAGGAAGGGAAAGCCTTTGTGTTGGAATAGTCACTTGACACGCTTTGGACTACCCTTTGAGTTGAGCTTCAACTATTCCCAGTCAGTTCTGCGCTTTGCTTTTGAGCCTCTGGGCCCTTCCACCGGCACCGAAGTCGACCCTTTCAACACCCGCGCCATTCATCCGGTGTTGAATGCACTCAGAGCCGTTGTCTCGGAACTCGACTTAGAATGGTTCGACCACTTCCTTTCAGAGTTAGTCGTTACCGAGGAGGATGTCAGAACCATTCGAAAGAACAAGCTGGAGATTCCTCAATTCAAAACCCAGAATAAACTCGCTGCCGATCTGGATCCCAGCGGCGAGATCCTCTTTAAAACGTACATCTATCCCCGAATCAAAGCTATCGCGTCTGGAACACCGAAGGACCAGTTGATGTTCAATGCAATAAGAAAAGCTGATCCTGGTGGAAGATTGGTGGCTCCCTTGGTGGTATTGCAGGAGTTCATGGGCTCCCGGAGTTCCACCCTCATTCCCCACTTTCTTTCGTGCGATTTAGTTGAGCCTTCCAGATCTCGGATCAAGGTCTACTGCTACGAAGTTCAGCTTGAGTTCGATTCCATTGCGGCGATTTGGACATTGGGTGGACGACGAACCGACCCGGAGACGATGGCGGGTCTCGACTTGCTGAAGGAATTGTGGCAGCTGCTACCCATCACGGAGGGACGCTGTACTCCCCCAAACGGCTTTTATGAGCTTGGGGAGTCACCCATGGAGCAGCTGCCATTTATCGTCAATTTTACCTTGTCCCCCAGTAGTTCTCTTCCTGAACCTCAAATCTATTTTCCGTCATTCGGCCAAAATGACAAGGTCACTGCGGATGGCTTGGCAACATTCTTTAAGCGCGTGGGCTACACAGGGATGGCGACAACCTACGCCTTGGACCTAGCCGCATACTAGTGAGTCTTCAATCTCCTTGGATCTTCCCAGATTGCGAGGCATTTCAGGGTTGATATGTGCGGCTGACAAACCCAAGTCCGGACTTGGATATAGCCAATACAACACACCTTCAGGCTTGGATCTCTTTTTCATCCAGAGGAAACAAACCATACATGAGTACCTACCTGCACACTTTCGAGGCAATGGGCTATGCTCCCGAGAAGCCACCAGCGAGGTTCGAGGAAAGTCTGTCGACGTGAGTGGCATTGGGAGTATTCCGGAATTACCAACAAAGCACCAGCAAGAGAGTCCGTGCCATTGAAGCTCTCTCATTGCTTGCTTTTCCTTCTCCCCACTCGTCCCTCACTTGTTGTAGATATTATCTCCTCCATGTTATCTAACTTGCTCTGCTTACATATATGACTCTTGAGCTTGTCCATTTCCAGTGCCTCAAAAGTATGCCATTTGTAGCTTATAGCGGTCGCCTTGTAGTAAGAGTGGACTGCTCCTTAATGTGATGCTTACCTACTGAATGTTCCCAAGACAGGATACACCAATTTACAGTGGGCATCTCAGTCATCTTGTTGGATAAGGGGCGCATAGATGTGTTATATTTATTTAAATCGCGGCTGGTTGAATATCGAACAGGACCTTGTCCAAAGGATTGCCTCAATTCCTTCCCGGTAGGATATATAACTACAAGGCTCTCCCTTTTTACCATTTACCCCACTCGCGCACACTACATTTGATCACAATCCCGGTCAAACCTGCATGGGATGCAGTATTGTGCTACACTCTCAGCAAGTATTGACATTATTTAGCCCGACGATGGGCGAAGATGTACGCTTACAATAACGTTGACAAGAAGTATTATTAGTTGAATATAATGTTTCGTAAATAATATTCTGACACATACGACCACAGGGTGTGGAAAACAGGGCTTCCCGTCCGCTCAGCCGTACTTAAGCCACCTATTGAACGCGGCCGAGTGGAATATGAGCCCTTTCTCAGTCGCTGCTTTATGGGTGAGCAACGCTAAGACGAAGGGTGAGTGCGGGTGATTTGGGTGATGTTGTCAAGAGCGTGGGTGAGCGGGGTGAGCAGGATGAGCAAATGGGTGAGCGATCGAGTGACCAAGCGGGCCAGCCAGGCAACCAAGCGAAAAAATTTTTGAAGTTAAATAGGGCGTTTGACCTGGTTATCCATTCCTTTTTTTCTGTTCGATATACTCATTCTCAGTAAACGACTTCAAAAGTGATCCCATATCGAAAATCATCATGTCACG